TCACAATATCCTTACTGAAAATTAGCAACCCGCTCTAGCTTTGCCTGGTTAAGATCCATAAGTGTGGCGGTGTTTAGGTTTTAGATAATTAAAGACCATTTATTTTTCTAAAAAAATTTAACTTATTTCGTACAAAATATAGCCTAGATAACTCCTGGCATTTTTCTCAATTTGTTTGTAAAGTTTCATCGCAATCAGTTCAGCTATTTCGAAGATAGCCCGGACAGACAGACAGAGAAAACTTTTAAAAATGGGTGTGTTTAGCAGAAAAAAGCGCTAGGTAGCGCTTGTAAGCAAAATGGAGGAACTATACAGTTTTCGGCCAGGACACATTTGCTAACTTTTGTAGCGCTGACACAATCCGCTAGTTTGCTTATTTATTTTGATAATTTTGAAGAAGAGTTTATAAGTTGTTTTGCGCAATTAGTTTCAAGTAATATTTATGACATGAATAAACATATTATACATGTTATTAAAAATTCACGATTGGTAAGTTCTTAATATGAATACTTTACAAACATATATTTAAATTAGGTTAGGTTCCCTGGTTAAAGCTTAGTGTCCTAGAGTAAAATAGCTATTTACCATTCGACAGCGCTTACCGCTTACGATCGCTATTTTGCTTATAAGCGCTTCCTAGCGCTTTTTTCTGCCAAACACAGCCAATGGTTGTTTATGTATTGATATCATGCAAATATCCCCCCAGTATTTATAGAAGACAGTTTTTTCAATATTATAGACACTTTAATTTTTTTTAGATAAAGAAACAGAAGGAGATCGTCGTGGTATGTTCCTATCGTCGATCGTCATTATAAGTAATTTTTCAAGTGGTTTTCATTAAAAAAATGGTAAAGCCATGATATAATAGTAGTATAGTTGTAGCACGATTAGGTCGGCTCGACGGGGAAGGACCACGCTCTGAAAGAATACCAGCGTAAAATAGTAGGTTAATGCTACTGTGTTTCGTATGGTGAGTGTAGAGAGCCGGAGACCGTTTTTACTGGAGACGAGGCATTCCATCTTAGTCGTCACGGGTGACAACGCATCTGCATTTTGATTTGTAATCGAGGATAGATGTAGATGTCTTTGGGCGACAGCATCCACTTACCATCAGGTGGACTGTGTGCTCGTTTGTTACTCCATCCTATAAAAAAAAATTAGCGTTGGTTGTGTCCGATAGACAAATTTATAAAGTATAGTTTGTAGTTAGCTTATGTTACGCTATAACCATCAACAAAACGAAGCCCAGTACAGGCAATGCTGTTTGACAGCAAAAGTAGACTTCCGGTCTGAAGAGTATAGAGAATCGGTATGATTATAGGCTGTAAAGCATTCAATCTTCGTCCTCAAAAGTGCTTATGCATCTTTGCCTATGAAGCTTTCTTTGTTTGAGATTAGTAGCAGGTTTTTACGTGGTAGAGCCACGTTGCATCTATAGCCGAGGCAGGACTACGCTCTCACAGAATTCCAGCGCAAATTAGCAGCGTAATACTGCTGTGTTTCGTATGGTGAGTGTAGAGATCCGGAGACCCATTTAACTGGAATCGAGGCATTCCATCTTAGGCGTTAGGGGTGACAACGTATTTATTGTTAATTGATCATAAACGCGAATGTCCGTGAGCCACAGCATTCTCATACCATCAGGTGGACTGTGTGCTCGTTTGTCACCCAATGGTAGAAAAAAAGGTATCCATGGACTGCAGTAGGCACTTACCATCACGTGGACTGTAAATTCGATTGTACTTAAATTTAGTAAAAAACACAATCAGGCTCCAAAACAGAACATTTTAAGTATTGCATAAATATCTACATCGGTTGGGATTTGAAGCCTCGACTTAGACGACAGAATCTCTGATTTAGTAATTAAAGATCCTTGTCTACTAAGTCGAGCTAAGGTTCATTAGTAACTAAACACAGTTTGTATATTTGTTTGAAAAAAATATTACTAACTTAGTTTATACATTATTAAGGATACTATTAAAGGATATTATAAAAAATAATTTACCACGTTCAGATTCCTTTCTTTCCTTAATATCGGCATTGTTGCTAGCATTAGAATCTTCAGATATTTCTTTCAACTTCTCAGCTACAGCTGTTATTAATCAAACATAATTTAACATCTTCACTACTCATTTAAAATATTTAAAAGTTTCATAAAATCTTATTGTTTTCTAAACACAGTGAAATTTTACTTAGGATAAAACAAAGTTTATAATATAGTTTTTATATATGAACGAGATTAAAGTTAATATTAACAGCGTTTTTCATTGACCGAGACGATAACGATATATCGTCGGCAATACAAGCTCTCTAGCCGCTCAATCCCCTAGCGGTCTCGTGAGACCGCGGCTATATTCCGTCAAATCCCTAGCGGTCTCATGAGACCGCACCCACCCACAGCACTATAATCCATAAAAATTTATATTTAAAGACTAATTTTCTTTAAAGAAGTTTGGCATTATAGAATCTATACGAAATTTTCTATTCTATAGTCTAAACAAAAGTCAGTTACTCTATGAATTATTTTTAATCTACTGTAAAATTGCACCATTTACGTATGGTCGGCAAATGTCGTAAATTGACAGGAGAGTCAAAACTTTACACAGCAATTCTTGTATAATAGAAATTATACAACTATAGATGTAATTGGTTCTTCGGGGACGGCCCTAATGATGTGGATTAATTTTTGTATTGTAATGATTTTTGATTTGATCAAAACCAGGTTCATTTTTCATTGACCCACCAGGTTACTACTTGAACATCGAAAAATATGTGAAATTTGATCGGATATTATTCAAGCTTCTCCAATTATGCTCCTTCAACGTGTTTTACTTTAAAAATTAGATGTAACCAAAAATTTTTAAAAACTTTTCTTTTTACCTAGGTAAAACATATTACGACATAAAACGACATAAACACTCACGCCTGTCACCCAGAGGGGTAGGCAGAGACTACAGACTTCCATTTGGCACGATCCTGACACACCTCTCTTGCCTCCTTCACATCCATACACCTACGCATACATGCTCGTCGGTTAAGGGTACTCCTAATTTGGCCCGTTTTAAATAAATCGCCAATTTGGTCGATAAATTTTCGCCTAGGACGTCCCTTTCCGACTCTGCCATTCACTTCTGCACCATAAATTCACTTCTGCACCATAATAAAGTAAAACATATTATATAATAAAAATAATTTATAGTCTGCCACATATAAAGAATATGACAAACTAGTTTAGGCATAAAACGGTATCATATCGTAAATTATTTTTTTATAACATCGGTATCGGTGGGTTAAGTCGATGACAATAATATAACGTTATCAGTATCGGCCGATGAAAAAACGTTATAAGAGTAACGAAATAATAGCTTAAAGCTTAAAGCTTTTACTATAAGACCAAATAACTCGCATATATTACAGTCATATTTTACAGTCACATAACTGCACCTATACTATAAAATTTAACACAACGTTTATGCCCAATAATTATTAAAGGGCATTTTTGTAAATAATAATCGACGCTCCTAGAATTATCATCTGAGGTAGCCCCCGGCCCGAGGCTACTACTACTGCCATTGTCTAAATCATTGGTTATGGTTACTAAAGTGCCGAACACAGCTAGATGAAGTTCACAATCAGCTATAGCATTAACCAAGTTTGCGAAGAAAGTTACGTACTGTACATATTGTTTTTCAATATTAGAACTTGTTTTTCAACACTAATACAATATTAAGTATGCTACTGGTAGTATAAGTGAAAATGACGTTAAACGTACAAGGTACTGCCGGTGCTCGGGACCTTTTGTGGTGTAGTTCAGGTGTCTCTTCTTGTAACTCAGTAGGGCGGTAGGGTTGCTTGTGTCGACTTTCCGACGTCTGCTCCACCATTAGTACGGAAGGAGCACCGGTAGCGGAACCGCTCTTTTTTTCTTCCTCTGACATTTTCGGAATCACTAATGCATCTAGACGTAAAATAAATCTTTATTTTACACGTTTGTCACCAAAAATATAATAACGATATTCACAAAAGTACAAATTATGAAATGTCACGCGTTGCAATTTTGACAGTAATTTTTTTGTTTTATTATCTTCTATTTTTGAAATGAAACATTACAAATAACTCTTTTACGTGATAGACTACATAATTTTTTAACATACCTAATTATTTTTACGACTGACTTTTCATACGTCAGATAAAAGTTATCCATCGACTTAATTCTAATCTGACGAAATATAAAAACGAATCTACTAGACTTTTTTACTCTTATAACTATAATTTTTAATTTATTATTTTATCTGATGTGTTTTTTAGCATATGCATCATCATCATCATCATTACAGCCCTTCACAAGTCTACTGCTGAACATAAGCCTCCCCCAAGGTATGCCACAAAACACGGTCCTGAGTCCCATGCATCCATCGACTACCTGTATATATTACCAGGTCGTCACTCCATCTAGTGGGAGACCACACTACACTTCGCCTGCCGGTACGAGGCTGCCACTCGAAAACTTTCTTCCTCATCGGTTGTCGGTTCTTCGAGCTATATGGCCGGCCCGTTGTCACTTCAGCTTACTAATCCGTTGGGTTATGTCGGTCACTCTGCTTCTACTGCGGATATCCTCATTTCTAAGTTTATCACGCAAAGAAACCCCAAGCATAGCCCTCTCCATAGCTCGCTGAGTGACTTTGAGCGTCCTTATACGGCCAGCATATTAATCGCCCTTAATTTAACACATCAATTGTTTTTCCCAATTCCAAAGATAGTTTCTAAAATTATACCTATTATCGACGCCAAAAAAGAAATTTAATTTATTTGAATAGTTTTTTTGATAAAACTTCTTTCAGCTTAGATAAGGAATTACATAAAGAATAAAAACGTCATTCGATTCTGGTTTGACATTATATTACGATTTTTTTATCGTTACAAATTCTTGAGTTATTTGTAAAAATTGTATTAAAAATATTGGTTTAATATGTTGGGGAGAAAGAAAATAAAATGTAATGGAAAATAAACAGCCTCCATCTAAAAAGAAATTATTACATACAACAGAAGAAAAGTTCGTTCGCAAAATTGACTACGATTCTTTGAAGCAAATTTCAAGTGATTCGCTAAACGATCATTTATATTTAGGTTAAACTTACGTAAATATTATAATTTAATTTTTACTACTCTCAGCAAATATAATAAATGTTTCTATTTTTAGATTTAGAAATAACTCAGAATCGTTCCATAGATTTAAAACCATCTCAGAAAGTACTGGTTTCCATAAAACCGAGGTCTCATGGTATCAAAACATTATACATTGCTGAAAAAGATAGATTTAACACGAATAAGGTAAAATCATTCTGTCAAATATATTCTACGTTTATTTTTGAAAATTTGGTAAATTAATTATTTACAGCGTTCACATAAAACGGGTTCACATCTAGCCATTGGAGATCACGTATCTTTACCTACGCGTAAGTAATCGATACTTATATATAGCCTTTGTTTATAATATTTTATAGATTAAATTACTCGCTGATACAAATGATTACAACTTTGTAGATTCAGCTAATTGTGACGAAAATGAGAGCGATGTTTTAACAGACCAATATAGTAACAATCCCGAATTTTCAACAAACCAGAACAAAAGAAGCCATTCGGGAATTGTGTCGAAATGCTTAGATTCTACTACTTTATGCCAAGAGTATAACCCAAATAATCGAAAAATAGATTGTAGTGAAAAATGTTATACGTACGCTCAACCTCATCAAATTATGAACCTTCCTAAGGTTAATGAATTGAAAGAAAATAAGAATAAAACGAAAAAAGTTGATAAGGAAACGCTAACTGCAACGAATTCGTCGTCTGAGGATATATTAATTTCTACTCGTATTGTGAAAAAGTTGCAAAAAAGAATAAATTATTTGGAACGTAAAATTTTAAGACAAGAAATGGTATTTCGATCTATGGATCCAAATTCAACAACGTCTTCATCAGATGAGGAAATGAAAGAAAATATAGTGAGATCTATCTCTATAACGGGTCCTCCTGGATGTAGTTACATAGAGCAGTACAGCCATATTCCTGAAACATCAGCCTTTCAGAGGTACACACAACAATCTACGTCCGCGTCTGTTAATAAAGCTACAAATATTGCCAAGAGTCATAACTCAGAACAATATGGCCGGGATTTTACTGCTTATGATGGTATCACTGCTCGTGGCAGACGACAAAGCTCTTCTGTTCCAGGAAAACGGGATGACATTCCAAAAATGGCCGCTGAAAGAGTTCATAAGATTCGTCACAAATTAAACCCTGTCCGTGATTATAGACTGATGGACACTGTTCACTATTTAGCTCAAGGTGAGTTCGCACCAAGGGATGATGGTATAAAATTAACACCTTCGCGAGAAGCAGTACTAAGTGACATTATATGGGAAGATGTTTGTCGGACGCATTGGCCTAATGCACGACTGGGACGTCGCCAGCATTCGGATCGATATAACAGTAGATTCGAGTTACAGCGCCTTATCGATAATCTCCTTAGAGAAAGGGTTGCACATGTTGAAAGAAGACGACGACGTCATTATAGAATCGTAAAACTTAACCATAGGCATGAAAACTGTAGGCCAGTTGGTAAAACTGGTGACATAATTGTAGCGAGTCATAAGAGTAAGCAGTCAAATGAAGATAGAGATATTCCAACAATAAATAAAAAAATTGCCAGTGCCATCCTTACAAATAATAATGACGAAGAGCACAATCCCCGCAGGAACCCAAAAAGTCATGACCGACTCACATATCCTTGGTCACGTAAGAAACGACATAAGCAAGATGACTGTTCGCCTGGACCCAGTTCAGCCGTATATCATTCTGCAACTAGAAAAGATTCAGCTTGTTGCAATCAAGTTACGAATCCCAGTAACACTACAAAGTATAAAGAAACGAAACATGAAAATGTCAAGGAACAAATAAGCGGTAATAATATATCTAACAGCAAGGTAAATACAAAAACTCCCCGCTTGTTAGTCAAAAAAGATTCTTTGCGTCGAAAACATTCTGCTAAAAATAAACCAAATTTGGAACGTTATATTCTCTTGCCGACCTTAGTGGTACGTACTCCCTCAAATGTAAAGCGCCAGAAGAAATTCAATGAATTATACCACCGCGTGTTAAATGTACAATTTAATAATGGTAATAATCAATCAGAACATACATTTACTTTTTAAGTTCTTTGATTTCATTTTCATTTATACTCATTTATTTTAGAAAGAAATGATGCCATGACCCCGGAAAGTACTCAAAAATGTCTTAACCCAAGTAAAAAAGACATTGGTATAAATATCAACGTCATTTTATCTAGCAGCGAAGAAAGTTTTAATCGTAACTAATTTTTTTTTGATATTTTCATATGCTATATATTTGAAACTTTTATAATAGGGATATATTTACAAAAATATATGTTTTCCGTATATGGAGTTTAAATAAATACAAATATTTATAAAAAATTTGCGTTTTATTTCAAAATAACTTGATGGTAACTTTGAAGATAATAATAAAATATAAGAATATATCAGCCTAAACGTAAAAAATTCTAATAAACGCAGTTATTTACGACAACTTACACTAAACAAAGATACAGGCTCATCATGTTGCGTCCTTCTTTCCTTTTCTTCTTTCCTGAAAAATTAATAATCATCAATCATCAATACTCTAGCTGACTGAAGTAGGTCATAATTAGTTTATCGAGATAACAAACTATTAAATATTTGTATGGTATATTGTACCAATTGCGTGTATGTACGAGAACTACGTTTAAGAAACCATGCTGGGAACCTGAGAAATAAATTGCTAAGGATTTGCCAAAATAAAGTGTATTTTGATCTTAATTACAAAAAATGTAATGAAAAATTATACGTAAAAGTAGTTTTATTCAACGATTTAAATCATTGAATAAAACTACTTTTACGGATTTTTTTCGCATTTAATTTACTTAATTTTAATTCCCGACATTTGCACTGCAAACCCAAGTATACCACTGCTGGACTTAAGACATATTTTTAAAATAAGTGAGAATATGTAAGCGAGATGTTTAAATAGCCATCTACCCCTTTTCACATTTGCTACGCTTGGCTACGCTAAGCAAACAACACCGGTGATTTATTTTTTATTTTTTCGCCAACCGACGCGATCAAACTTAGCTTGAACACCAATAAAATTGTTTAATTAAAATTTAAGGTGGTAATTAACCGTGTGTGTTCGGCTCTGAAGGTCATTTAGGTACATTATATCAAATATTTCGAATACATGACTTAGTTTACTGGTAAAACTGCTTCCAAAAGTTTGAAAATTCATAACTCAATACAGTCACATCCTGCAACATTAATAACAATGTACGTAGATCGGATCATAAGTAATAATTAGAAAGCTAAAGGTACTGCAAGTAATAATTAAAAAGCTAAACACTGACATCGGTACGTCAATCTCACACACACACACACACACACACACACACACACACACGCGCGCGCACACGCGCACACGCGCACACGCGCTCACGCGTACACGCGCACACGCGCACAGCGCACACGCGCACACGCGCACACGCGCACACGCGCACACGCGCACACGCGCACACGCGCACACGCGCACACGCGCACACGCGCACACGCGCACACGCGCACACGCGCACACGCGCACACGCACACACGCACACACGCACACACGCACACACGCACACACGCACACGCACACACGCACACACGCACACACGCACACACGCACACACGCACACACACGCACACACGCGCCACACACACACACACACACACACACACACACACACACATTTCTGTACATTTGTATTTGTGTCTTCCGTATAGTACATACATCGGTAGCTACACAAGTATCTATAATAATGTGTATGTGGGTATATATTACATCAATTGTATCCCGCATTTAGATTGTTGTTACTTCCGTATGCCGCGATAATGATTCCAACATTCTTTGCAGCCAATCATTTGTCATATTAAAACAGCTGAATCACGAACAACGAAGCTAATAAGTCTTCAATTGCATATTTCACAGACGTATAAAATTGTAAAATGATTTTATATGAATATAGTATAGTATATATAGTATTTTTGCTGAATCGTCGAGGCACAACCAGGTCTACGTTCTGTTGCAACGCTTTTGGAATAAAGATTTTATCATAAAGAATCCAACAGTTGGTCGACGTCAGAGAAAAAGGGGGACCCCTTTCTCTCTGATGTCGACCAACTGCTGGTCCCATGAGTTCCGTTGCCCTATCCCGAATTTCTCAAAATTCAGCACACCGTTCTCTCCTGTGCTCAGTTTTGAGTGGAAGTCTCCTATTAATATGGCAGCGACACTTGCGCAACTTCAACAGCTCGAATTTAAGAAGTGATCGAGTGTAACCAAGGCTCCGAAGTCTTTGCCAGAGATCTGTCTGCCAAAAAAAACAACTGTCGAAGTTAAAGACCGATGTGTGAGCCTCGTTTCCGGAATATCTGAGATTTTGAGTGAGATTAAGAGGTTCTACGGGCAGCTGTGAACACGCAAGTGTGAGTAACGATCCAAGAGCAAGTCTTATCCGATACTATTCCGATGATATCCCGGAAGTCAGTCTGAGCGAGATTGGAATGGCTCTCCAGCGCCTTAAAAACGACCCCGGGAAGGGTAGAATTACAGCGGGACTTTTGAGAGTGGGTGGAAAACCGGTACTTGAAGTCCTTCGGAAGCTCTTCAATTACGTCCTTCGTGGTAGCACTACTCCGGAGGCGTGGATCAGAAGTTGTTCTTCAAGCAAGATGGCAACTTTCTATTGAAGAACTATAAACCGATTTACTTTCTAAACCGCGTTTACGTGCTGTTTTTGAGAGTTATGCCAAATCGTCCGCACACAGAATCGATGACTTTCAGCGTCCCAAACAAGCCGTTTTTTGTTAAGGCTTTAGTACCATAGACCACTTACATACTTTTAGACAAAATGTACAGAAAACAAGAGCATTTTCTTTACATTGTCTAGCATATGTGCAATATGAAAAAAACCTTTGATTCCTTAATAGCCCTCTAGCCCTCAAACCTTTGAAATTTCGGGTCAAGTCAATGGTTGCACGTGGCTAAGGGCCGTAATTTGTGGTACCTTGGGGGAGGCCTAAATTCGGCACGAATGTCTGTAAGGAGTGAAAAAAGTATTAATTTTCACATATTTCATTGAAATTTGTTTTGTACGATCGATAACGTCATCACTGGCAACACGCACTGGTTGTGCACGGATTAGGAAGCTGAAGTGGCAATGGGCTGGCCATATAGCTCGAAGAACCGACAACCGTTGGGGAAAAAAGGTTCTCGAGTGGCAGCCTCGTATCGGTAGGCGAAGTGTAGGGTGACCCCCCACTAGATGGAGTGACGACCTGGTAAGACATGCAGGAAGTCGATGGATGCAGGTGGCTCAGGACCGTGCTTTGTGGCATACCTTGGGGGAGACCTATGTTCAGCAGTGGACTTGTGAAGGGCTGTAATGAATGATGATCGATAATGTACAACCGATTCCGACCGTGATATTTTAACATTAACGTAAAAATTAATTCGCTAAGCGATTTTAACATCTTTAGTATAGTGTATCATATTTACAAAGTTCTAATAAAATTGCTTATAAATTCACACGTTAACTTCCGAGGATTCTGAATAAAAGCACTAAATTGTGTATACCTAAAATAATTTTAAGTAAAGCTGCGTACACAACTTGTAGTAGTGATTGTACACATTGTGCAGTCTACGGAGTCTTTCAAAGCCCCGAATAAAGTGAAATTTTTCTTCAGTAACTATAGAAACGCGATATCAATTTCAGTTCATAACGCGTGGACGTTAGAAAATTATTTTCTAGTGCAATTCTTTACAAGTAAGATAATAGGTATCTACTTCTTAGGAGCGAGTTTTCAATCCTTAGATAAAATAGATGTTTAGGATAAAATAAAAGGAAATTAAGTAGAATTACATTTTTTCATCCCGTTTATAACATAATACCACTTTTTTATTAAGTCGCTTCCGTGTATGTCATATTTATGTATGTCGAATTTAGTAATTTTTTTAAACTAACTTTCCGATGAGCTAGAGATTTGAAGTACATAGCTCAAAATCGGATGATAATTTAAGAATATAAAAAAACGAATGGTACACTTTTTAGTCCTCTTAAAAGATGGTTTAAAAAATTATACACAAACTTGTTGATTAATGGAAATATTTTGATGAATAACTTTTATCTGACAAATTGAAAAATCAACCCTAAATGAGATACTTCTCTATAAATGATAATATTTAATAGTCACATAACAATTTCAAAAGGATTTTCCAAGCAATGAAATAGAACTTTCGATTATTTGACAGGGCAAACAGTGTCAGTAGAACGCTAGCTGTAAATATTTAATAAGGCATTTTAGATTGCCTCGTGCTGTCGAAGCTGAAAATCGATAGACTTTTTCCACGATAGAGAATAGAATTACAAAAAAAATCCTTTCTATATTATTCTAGCGTTATTTTAATAATCGTAACTTATTTTAAAATAACTATAACTTAGTAATTATTAATGGAAATTATTATAAATAAGAAGTTCATTAAGAGTTTAATATAATATGGTAATTTTATCATATATCATAATATAGTATACGCTTGCACGTTTTTCGTCAGCAATTTCTAATAAATGTCATTCATTTTTATATTAACTACATACCACACATATGTATGTAATCAGTCTCAGTAACATATCTACATTGGGTGCGTTTGGCAGAAAAAAGCGCTAGCAAGCGCTTGTAAGCAAAATGGCGATCGTAAGCGGTAAGCGCTGTCAAATCGTAAGTAGCTATTTTCCTCCAGGACACAATGTTAGTTTTAACCGGGGAATCTAACCGAATTTAAATATATGTTTGTAAAGTATTCATATTAAAAACTTACCAATCATGAGTTTTTAATAGCATGTATATGTTTATTCATGTCATTATATTACTTAAAACTAATATTGCACAAAACAACTTATAAACTCTACTTCAAAACAAACAAATTAAATAAGCAAAATGGCGGATTGTGTCAGCGCTACTGAAGTAGCAATCGTGTCCTGGCCGAAAACTATTTTAGCGCTTATAAGCGCTTGCTAGCGCTTTTTTCTGCCAAACGCACCCATTATATTTATATAAAACTCCGGTGTGCGTGTGTTTAAAATTCTTCTCCTAAACTGCTTGACCGATTTTGATGAAATTGTTATGGGGTACATACTTATGGGGTCATCGGGATGGTTCTTAGCTATAGTTGGACCCAGTAAGTAGCGCTTTTGTCAAAGCAGAAATCACCATTCGATACATAGTCAATGCAAGAA